GGAGTGAGGTTTTTCTGGACCTGGGAATATTTCCTGGCCTCCGTTACATATGCAGGGTCAGAAAGCTCTTGGATTTGATCAAAAATATCTTAATTTGTGTTCCGAAGATGAACAAAGGTCTTACGGGTTTGAAACGACATGACGGTGAGTAATTAATGAGAGAACTTTCATTTTTGGGTGAACTAACCCTTTAAGGATACCGGTGTGTAATCAAACTAGCAAAAATATTTAATAATCAAACACCCAATGAACAGGTAATTTTTACAAACGTCGGGTGGAAATCTGTAAAACTTTCGTCAGAGTTCCGCAGGTGCAAACCAGGACTGTGGATGCGCGATGCTCACCTGAGGCGTCCGCGGCTGTGGGAGTGCGTGAGGGATGTGTGTCGGCGTACTGCGTGCGTGCCGGGCTCCTCGCTGACGCGCTGGAGGGAGGGCGAGCGGGAGTGCGAGGAGAGCGAGCTGCCAGTGCTCTGCAGGCTGCCATCGGCCGCGGCGTCGATCCCGGCATGTGCCAGAGGGGGCAGGCTCCTCAGAGACAGCACGGGCGAGTGGGCGGGGCCTGTGTCAGCCACGTTGTTCAGATTGTTGTCGGAGGCGGAGCGAGGCAGCGAGCGTGATGATGTCAGCGTGTCGCCTCCGGTCACGCGCCGGCGATTTGTGTAGGAAGGCGTTTCCCTGAAAGGCACTGGAAACAGGAAGAGCAGGTGTCAACAAAAGGTCACATCGAACAAGAGGCGGCCGTACATGACAAACTGTCAGGTTCAATTAGCATAATTTGTAAATGAAGGGTACAGAAACCTCATCAGGCATTCAAAGAGGTAAACAAAAGACGTACTCAAATTACAAAGCACCTCATCTATAATTCATTAGCAAAACACACTTCCTCCTGTCCTGACCGCTAGCACAGCGGTCGTTTGCTTGGGACGTTTTTGGGGTAAAAACTGAACATTACACAACAAACTCTCGTTTACCAATAACTGAGAAGTGAGGCTGTTTTTTCTTTCCACTGAGGAAAGCAATTAGTACAGACCATCAACACTAGATGGCAATATCTCACCTCTCCATGATGCAGGTGAAACTCTGTACTGATGCTGTTTTAAAGCTAATGTGTAGTTAAAAATGCACGGTGTCGTGTATATCAGGGTCAAAAGAGTTCATATGGCTCAATGACAGCCTTATTTAATGATACAACGAGAGAGAGAGAAACAGAGACAAGCAGGATATAAGAGTGCACAGCGCTGTCATCCTGACATATGGTTTGCTGTCAGTCTCATAGCTGATTCTCTCTAATCTCTAATGTAAATTAAGTATTGATCAAACCGCTGTACTGAACATCCACCTGTCACCTGATCAGATATGAACAGCTCTCTGCCAATCAGAGAAGGGCGTGAGAACAAGAACAAGCCACTCAATACATCCTAGAACTGTAGTTCTCAATTGGTTTTGCCTAAATTAAAAACATTAAACGATGTATGTAATATTTCAAGACTGTATTTTGTACCATTTATACTAGGCTTACGTATTTTGACTACTTATTAACTTTTACAATTATTTGGTTAGTTGTGTGTGTGCATTTGAATATTATATTTGTGTATATATATATATATATATATATATATATATACTGTATATATCACGATTAATCGCATCCAAAATAAAAATTTGTGTTTACATAATATATGTGTGCGTACTGTCTGTTTATTTGTATATAAAAATACACACAGATACACGTATATATTTATGAAATATTTACACATATATAAACGTAAATATATATACACACATACATACATACATATATACAGTACATGATTTATATTATACATAAATATAAATATATATTACATATATTTCTTAAATATATACATGTTTGTGCATGTATTTTATATACATAAGTATACACAGTAGTACACACACACACATTGTATTATGTAAGCCAACTTTTATTTGGAAGGCGATTAATCACAATTAATCGATTTGACAGCACTAATATATATATATATGTATATATATTTGCACTATTATAGCACTAATATACATACATTTATAAATCTACACCGTTTTGCATCGTAAGTACATTTCTCTTGTTTTAAGGATGAATAAATAAAACTTTACTGCTAAACAAGACTTTTTTGTGCAGCTCAGTGTTACTCTTTTTACTGCATCTGATTATGATTAATATTACAATAAAATATATATATATGTATTAAGAAAGCTTTAATAGATATTTAAGATTTTTTTCTGAAATATAATATAGAAAAATAACTTACAATTAAATGTAAATAAAATTTACTGGTAAACAAGGCTTTTTTTTAAACCAGTGCAGCTCAATGTTACTAATTTTTATTGCATTTGACTATGATTAATATTACTAAATTAACACGTCAAACCGACAGTACTAAAAATGATCATATATATTACTATTCGTATATTCAAATCAGTCCTCCTTCAATAGTTTCACCCTGAGAAAACATCTAGGGCCACTTAACATGGGCCGCTTGTTTAAGCAGTGTAAATACTGCGCTCTGTAGTCAAGCTGTCTGCTTGTTTAGGTCCTCTACTCTTCCACCCATCCATTCAGAGTGAAAAGGCCAACTGTCCAACCCACTCAGGACACACTCGCTCGCTCTCTCTTTTCCCCTCTCTCAGTGACTGATGGGAAGGAAATGAGAGGAGAGAGAGACAAAGAATGGACACATCCTGAGAGGCTTCAGCATTAGTGACAAAATATCAGCGCCGGTCCTGTAAACGGTGTGTTTTAAGGCCGGTTCTGATTCTGTGTGTGCGTGAGAGCGTCCGTCCCATCCTTCATCGAGGTCACACACGGTTCTGATGAGATACCTGAGCCTGCGGCTACACTCCCATTGGCTCAAATCAAAATCCCAACACCTGCTGAGCCTCGGGGATTAACCCCGCTCCGTTGCCATGACAATGGTACTCCACACTAATGGGTACGATCCATTACAGCGGTACGACAACTGGCTGCTATTCCCCGCCAGAACTAGCGCGTGGAATGAGCTAGCCTTTCCGTCGACGCAGGCGAATAGAGTGATGACTCTCATTCACCCGAACACTGCAGACTCACAAACACACACGGACACATAAGGGGCCGCTCTCATTTTCATGTTCTCTGGCCGTGGCGCTCTGCTGCGTTTGTAAGGATTCATTAACACAAGGGATTGTTTGCGCTTGCTTGCAAATTCGATAGCAGCTAATGATGGTGGAGGTACAGTATACAAAGCACTTACCAACATCTGATGCTTTGTGAGTCTTTACAATTTCTGCCAGGTCAAAGTTTCCAGCTATAATAGCCACCTATAGAGAGAAAGAAAAATTGGTTATTTTTCTGCCAAACGTCCCTGGGCAAACAAAAACCCTAGTTACAGATTTATAACACTGCATGCAATTCATAACAGGATGTTATCCCTAGTAAAAAAATTATATATTTAAAACACATTTATTTCATAATAAGTATAGTATCTATTAACATGTTTACTGACATATAACGTTCGAGACTTACTGATATAAAAATTATAATTAAACTTTATTTGGAGTACTACTTATGCACAATGCGCATTTCTTAATATTAAGCCTAAAATGTGTTTTAATGTCACTATTAATGAGGATTATATGATCTTTGAATAATATCGGTCTTTAAATGCAGGATATTTAAAGTGGACTTGAAGTATACTTGCAGTAGTTCCACTTTAACACAATCAAATACTTCAGTATAGCTGGACTTCAGCACTACTTCCACACAATTAACATGCATTAAGCACAAAATTAGTTGTTCCAGTTTAGCAGACTTTAACTGTACCAGTTTAGTATACCAAAAGTACAATTGCAGGGTATTTTTATTAAGCACATATATATTTAAATGTATTTGTAGTATACTTACATACTAACATTACTAACAATACTAACATTAAATACTATTTCAAATACATTTTAGTATATTTATATTTATTTTTCACTAGAGATGTCATGGGAAATACTTAAAAATTATGATTTGTACAAAGTGATCAAACATCGAATAAAGGATCACTGAAAGGGAAATATGTTTTTAAAAGAGGAAAATAACAGTTCTGTGTCATTAAAAGGCCAAGGCACAAGCACTACATTATATCTGATTATTTCTTTACAGAAACATTTTCCCGTCAAAGTGTTGGCTTTCCTTCGCAGCTGGCATGAGTTTGTGCACAAGATGGATCGAATTGAAATGAGAGCAATGCATGTGTCTGAACACTCATCACCAGCAGCACTTACTTCTACTGTAAACAGTCAGAGTTTGAGACCTTCTGGTGGATGAATCAGTTATCTACGGATCGTAATATTCTTATTGTGCATTTTCTAATATGTTGTTTTTGTTGTTTGATGGTTTGACTTCTATAGTCTGGAAGCAGATGAAGTTGGCCAGTGATCAACATCAAATGCTATTCGAGAACACATTATACTTTCTTAATATGGCATACTTTCTGATTGAAACAAAATAGCTTCAGAAATGGAAAAAATGTAGGCCAGGACTTGATTTTATCCAGTGGGAACTGACTGGATCATGAACAGTGGGCGCTTTGTACCAGAATGGAGCCAGAAGTGAATACAAGTTTGCAGTTGATTGTGTACAGTTACTCCCCTTCTTAAACACAAATGACACACTCACGTTTGAGGAAGGTCAAGGTCACCCACAAGAGCATCTCAATGTATCCCAATTGTACCATTTCTTTTTTAAATCTAGTCTTTATTGGTTGTTATAATTAACTGTAAAAATAATATTGTTAATGAGTATTTTTGTCTTGTTTTCCAGTTAAAATATGTAAAAATATAAAAATAACCAATTTTATCTTGAATATAAGTGTATTTTGACATACCGATCTGGCAGATTGTTCACTTGTGTTTATACACTTATACTTATACACTTAAAGGGGTCCTATTATGCTCTTTTACAAAGTCTTGATTTTGTTTTGGGGGTGTACTAGAACATGCTCTCATGCTTGGTGGTTCGAAAAACGCATTATTTTTCACATAATTTACATTATTAAAATAACTTTCTCCCCAGCCTGGCACAAACGGCTCGATTAGTTCCGGTTGAAGTATACTTGCAGTAGTTCCACTTTAACACAATCAAATACTTCAGTATAGCTGGACTTCAGCACTACTTCCACACAATTAACATGCATTAAGCACAAAATTAGTTGTTCCAGTTTAGCAGACTTTAACTGTACCAGTTTAGTATACCAAAAGTACAATTGCAGGGTATTTTTATTAAGCACATATATATTTAAATGTATTTGTAGTATACTTACATACTAACATTACTAACAATACTAACATTAAATACTATTTCAAATACATTTTAGTATATTTAT